TTTAAGAAAATATTTTTCATGCCTTAAAAGTGATTTTTTTTAATATTTCTATTCCCTTATTTTTTTTCTAATAGATATTCCTGGTAGAGCTCATGAACAAGTTGCATGCTATTGAGGAGATCTACTAGTCTTAGAATGTAATACTCATAATCCCACATTGAAAGAATGTGTAGATAAAAAATGATATATACATAGAGATTTAAACTCAAATTTGTGAAATATCTTTTGTAAGACAAAATCGTAAGATCTTCGAGTCAAAACATATAATACCTCTCAAGTTCAGTGTGGGTCTCCACAAATAGTATTAGAACAGTTACCAATCGATAGAAACTATGTGCTATATCGTGAGAGTCACTAAGTGTTATATGGTGGGACCATAGAAATCACTAAGTGTTATACGGTAGAAAGCCACCTCTATAATTTTAATATCTGATGTGATCCTAGTTCTGTGGTTAGACTCGTAAAAAACATCAAACTTTAAAGGTGGAGAGATTATAACACTCCTAATCTCATATTAAAAGAATATGTAGATAAAAAATGATATATATGTAAAAATCTAAACTTAAACTTATAAAATATATTTTGTAAAATAAAATCATGAGACCTTAAATTAAAATGAATAATACCTCTCGTTAGGTGCAGATCTTCACATAAAAGATTTCAGGGAGCCTGCATCTGATCGGGAGTTCTTCTAAAGGGAAGTCAAAAGACATGTTAAAAAAACAAAAAAAAAAAAAAGGAGTCAAGCTAGAAAAAAAATGCAGCATAGCACCAAAAAGAATGACAAGTCCAAAGGCAAGTGCTACAATAGTGGTGAGGTCAGCCACTAAAAGAAAGACGGCCCTAAAATTAAAACATCGACTATGGATAATCGTTTTGTTATAGATGCATGCTTCATGCTTTGTTTAGAACTCTATTGATATCAGAAGTTTGGAATTACAATTTGGTGTATTATAGGTGCTGCAATGTGATTGCTACCAATGCCACTCCTGAATCCTTTTTCCACTTGAAACAATCAACCCCGATACTTCATTATCTCAATCTCTAATGCTACATTAGAGGTGATATTGATTTCGGTGAATTTAATTATTGTAGTGGTGAGATTAGATATTAACATATTATAATAATAAAATTAAAATTAATGACAAAATATATATTTAGATATAAATACAATAATGATGGTAAGACAAAATATAATGAAAATATAAAATGATCATTAAAGATAGTATATTCAAATTTGCTTATAATTTTTTTTATATTTTTAATATTTATGAGTTAATAATTAATTAACATTTACTATAATTATTTTTATATAAAGTAATAGTTTTTATAAAAATTAATAATAATATATTTGAAATTAAAAATATTAACCTAAAAATATACTATATTAATAAATTATTTTTATTTATACTTTATATTTTAATTGATAGTTTGAATGTATGAAAATGTTATTTTTATTGGATATTTGTGAGTAAATGTCAATAAATATAAAGATAAAATTGGATTAAAAATCCAGACATGAAGATATAATTATCCAACTTGAGCTCACGGTGAGCCACCATACCTCTTTTCCTCCGGTAGAGATTAGAATCCATGGTGAAAAAGTTTTTGGTGCAATCTTACCATGATTGTGTTTTGTAAACAATTTATCACAGTGAGATTGCCTAAAAAAGGTGCCAAATCGTAGCGATCTGCGCCTCAGATTATATCCAAATGCAATCTAACAGTTGTAACCTGGGCTGTGACAAGTTTTATGGATCACCAAGCCACGATGCTATACCATACTGCCTTGTCTTATGGAGGTCCAGTGTTCTTGGGTGCCATGAAAAAGGTCATGTTGAATTTAGTCATTTTGAGTTTGGATTTGTTTTTATGTATTTTTTTATTAATCTCAACTTGGTGAACTTCAAGAACGAAGAATCCAACTTTGAGAGAATTCTTCAAATATGCTTTAAGAGTTTTTTTTTTTTTAGATTTATTGGTCAATTCACCCGTACTTGGGATGCAATAAGGTTTGTCAAATAGTTTAAGGGTGTGTTTATATGAGGCACTTGGAGGAAGGAATTAATTTCAAACAAGTTTTTAAAAAATTCAAAAATAAATTTATTTGTTTGGATTAAAATAAAAAAATTAAAATTTAGGTGAAATTTCAAAAGAGAATTTAAGATGCTAAGGCTCTGTTTGATTTAAGAAAATATTTTTTGTTTTTATTTTTATTTTTTAGAAAATAGTTTTTATTTTTTATTTTCTAAAAAACATGTTTGGTAAACAAAAATAAAAATTATTTTTTAAAAATGCAAAAGTAAAAAAATAAATAAAATATTCAATGATATTACTGTTAATGGCATCTAATCATAAATTATAATACTATATTTATTTTAATTAATGATATTAAAATGTATTCAAATATGGTAACTTGCAAAACATAAGAAAAAAAAGTAAAGTGTACATCTTGTTATTCACAATTAAAAACATCTTTTTTTGGTTTTTTTTTTGGATTCATTCATTTTTATTTTTATTTTTTGAAATTTTGTTTTTATTTTTAATTATCAAATGCATTTTCATTCATATTTTTCATTTTTCAAAAAAATATAAAAAAGGACTTTATTTTTTAAAACCAAATACCACCTAATATTCTCTCTTGAAATTCCACCTAAAAAGGTAGTTTTTCAAATTCCTCCAAATCTTCCATCTTTTTTTAGCACATACCATTATTAAATACAAAATTCAAAAAATAAAATAACATTTTATTTAATTTTAATATATATTTGTTATTTTTATATTATTAATAATATATATATTTTAATAAATCTAATGATATGTTTATTGTATATTTTATTTATACATATTTATTTTATTTTTAATATCATTAATTTTCTTTTATCTCATTAAATTTAAATAGACCGAATTTGTTTCTAAAAAATATTTATCTAAACAAAATAATTACAAATGCTAATATTTTAAAATAATGTATTTTAAAATGATTTTATTTCAAATTTTTTCAAAATTTCAAAATTATCCATCCAAATGCACTTTAGGAGATAAAATGGAGACTTATAAGAAATTACTTTGCATTAAGGAGATTCTAACCACTAAACACCATTGAAGAGGATCAAAAATATTAACCTTAGGGCTAAATTTTCTGCAGCAAACTAAGTTTCATAGGCTTGCTTTTAATTTGAAAATGAGATGGAGAAGAATTCTGAAAATATGAAAAGTATATGTAAATGTGCTCTAAACTTCTCTATTTATACAGATTTGATTAAAGGATCATTTCTCTTTGTTTGTATTGTTTTCAACAAACAATTGTGTTATTTGATTAAAAACACATATTTTTGTATAATTACAAACATCTCTTTACAAGTGAACAATCACTTTAAAGATCATATGCCAATTGACCAAAAACTTAATGTTTCATTCGAAAATTACAACTTTTGAACTAGGGTAGTTGACTCTTCCGTATGGACAGTCAACTTCCCTAAATTTCAGAGTGCTTATGACTTGATAGCAGTCTACTCCTTTTTAAAGCAATCAACTTTTACGCATATACAGAGTATTTCTAACATGAGAGCAATTGACTCCAACTAATAACAATTGACTTTTCTTATTTTTTTTCCTAAAATATAAGACCTTCGATTTCTAAGTAGTTGACTGATTCTAGGTTAAGCAATCGATTGATTTGATTTTCAACCATAGTAGACAACTGCTCTAGGGTTGAGAATCAATTGCCTCTTTGTTTTTTTCTTGAATCAAAATGTACTAGGACTTTGAGACAATTTTATAATACATGACAATCAATTGTTTTGGCATTAGCAGTCGACTACTCCTTATGGTATAAGCATGGCAATCGACTCCTGTTAGGGTTGCAGTGATTGCCTCTTTAACAAATCTTTTTTATCAAGTCCTTTAGATCATGAAATTGGATTATAAAAAAATTAATAATTAAGTTTTTAATTAACAAATTTTTATTTAAATTTTTAATATTAAATTTGAATTATTATGAATTTGAGTTGAATTGGTATAAAATTGGATATTTTTTGTTCAAATCTTTTATATTTTTATTTATTCAAGTTTGATTGAGTGTGTTAGAGTTCATTTTTTTATATATATATTTTAGATTTTGTCACCTCTATTTTATACAATTGGGGTAATAGAAAGAACCATAAAAAAATCAAAATAAAAGGAAAAAGGTAAAAAAAAAAAAAATTCAATATATGTTTTTAATTTAAGTACAATACGGCAAAAAAAAAATCAAGTTTCACTTTTCGTACGGAACATGAACTAAATGCTAAAATACAAAGAACCACAATGAGAGGCAAGGATGAACTATAATTTAGATAGAAATTTTAACCTTTTGAGAATTAATTTCTTTCTTGAAAAAAAAAAAGAAAAAGAAAGAGATTCAATCTAATTTTAAATTTATTATTGAACTAAGTGATAATTGAAATATATTTATATATTCTAATATGAAGGCAAAGCGTCAAATTTATTTTGTAATTAGAGACTTGTTAATTGGTCACATTTTACTTGTTATAATTATAATATGATTAATTAATCACAATTTATAATTATATAGAATCTATTATAATTTTATATAGATCTTATATTGTGAGCTTTATATAAGTTTTTATTATGATTAGATAATTATAATATTATAATAAAAAAATTATCCATGTTTAATCTTGCCACTGATTTCATTTTTAAAAAAAAGTCTTGCTACTGAACACAGAAAATAAAAAATAAAAAAAACGACTTCTAACAAATTTCATATCTTGCCGTGAGAAAAGAAGAAAGAAAATTCAAACATCTTGTGGGCATTGAAAAGAAAAGAAAACAAAGAATTAAAGAAGTGGTCCAAACAATTTCGACTGCGACTTTATGATAGGAAATTAATACTTTTTTATAGGCACCAACAAAAAAAACAAAAAAAGCTTAAAGAGTCTCAGACCTCTAAACAACTTCCACCTGTGGAATTTTATATTTAAAATCTTTATAAAATATAAAAGACATATCTTTTTGATAAGCTGAAAAAAATAGCATTAAACTAGGAAAACATGATAAATAAAATAAGCCCCTTTTTTTATTTACTCAGTTCCACGAAAAAATAATTTCTTAAATGAAGAAAATCTCTAAAAACTAGACAACTACACCTATAAGGCAACACAGAGAAATCAGTGTAAAGAGAGAAAGCCATCGAAAAAGGGAGAAAAAAAAGAAAAAGGACAGTAAACGCTAACTTTTGGCTTCACTTTATTTGTATTGCAGGCAAATCTTCTCTGTTTTATTGAGAAACTTCCTCTCCTCTTCTCTGATGAACCCTAGTCAAGGAGCCAAGCATAATTTTCATTCTTCTTAATGTTTTTGAGGGCGGGTATTTCTATGCCTACCTTTTCCTGTCACCCTTTAGCAACAAGATTTTATTCTCTCTCTAGTCTTTAAAGATTACCCTTGTTTCTCGTATATACATTGTAGGCTCTCTCTCTCCTCTCTCTCTCTCTCCCTCGGTCTCTCTCGTTTTTACCTTTGCTTACGTATAATGGACGTTTGGCTTCCATAGCATCCAATATGCAATCTTTAAGGTTGGTTTCTTTTTTTTTTTTTTTTTTTTATCTGTGGGTTTTATGAGACATAGCTTCCTTTGTGATTCAATTACATTTTTTTACATTTGGGCCAGTTGCATTTGCTGATATTATGCTTAGTATGCGTTTATAGCCAATTTTATGCAGTTGTCATTTAATATTTAGTTTATACTTTGCTTTGCTTTAGTTTTAATAATGGGTTTATGAGACTTTTAACGTTTCATTTAGTGCTTCAATTGCTTGCTAATAAATTAGTACATTTCATGGATATAGGGATCTTTGGAGAAGGCATAGGAGGAATGTTTTGGTTACAGCAGGTATTTTAGGAAGTGGATATTTTTTATATAAACTGTATGATGCTCACAAACGTAGGCTTACTGATTTGGAAAGACAACTTGCAATCGAGCGGGAAAATGATGAATTCATTAAAGCCCAGTAAGAGTGATCAAAATTATTATGATCTTAGTGGAACAATTCATTGTTTTTGTTCTTATGTTTTCTGGTTTTGTAACTTGTGATAGAATGCAAGTCCATTTTGAGAACATTCAAAGAATAGCTGATACAACAACATTGCCTCATGCAATGCACTATTTAAGTTGTCGGATAGCTGAAGATTTGGACCTTTCACATCTTACTGAGAGACTGATGAAAGGGAAGGGTCAGCCCAACAGTTTGTCTTCTGCAGAGAAACTTGAATTATGGGATATGCTTAAAATTTTAAGTATGAAGCCGTTATCTTTTGGTTTCTAGTGTTTTGGTGTTCTGGACATTATAAATTGCAAGTTTCTAATGCCATGGTGAATCTAATTCATAATTGATATCTGATATGGGTTTTTCCAGGTTTTACGAGAATTGTGGTGTCAATATGGGCAGTAACAATGCTTAGCTTATATATTAGAGTTCAAGTCAACATTCTAGGAAGACATTTATATATTGATACTGCACATGGTCTTGGAAGCCCTCATTTACTTGTAAGAGCACTACATTTTTATCCATAATGCCTGATAATATGTTCAATTCATCTATTTTTACCTACAGATGATTTGTAAAACTACATAAATTTCAGTCTTTACCTCTCCATTTACTGAAATTTCTGAGATTGTTATTTTAGTCTAAATTTGCCTCTGCTAATGATAGTTGGCATATCTACTTGATTCCATTTTAGTTGCCTCTGCTGTTTGAGTAACAGAGTATGTTTTAGTGTGATTCTTTTCAGTAAGCTGATTTATTAAGGTGGAATAATATAGACTTGGGCTTGTATTTCTGAAAATGTTAGTTGTTATGCCAAATAATTGTGGGATATGCACTCATTTATTCAAAATTTGCCTTGTGTTTGCATATGAAAATATCCCTCAAGTGGTGGTTAAAGATGCAGGGATTCAGGGGTCGAGGGGGGTTTCCGGGCTTTGGAAGAGCTTAAGTAAATTTGGGTGCTGTTTGAACCTAAATTATACCTCTCAGATGTATAAAGTAGTTTGCAATCATACTGTGTCATGGAACTATTCATTATTTAGAGCTCTGCTTTAAAGATGAATGCTTTTGTGTGTGTGTGTGTCTGCATGTGTGTTAGTTAGATGAAGAGATAGATAAAGTGTATGAATTCACGTGCCTCTTTGTTTTGGGAGCTTATAGGATTCTATTTTTTATGTTGAATTGATTGGCCTTTTTAAGAGGCTAGAGCAATTCTTTCTATTATACTAAAAAATGAATTTTCTGGTGGCTTGCCTTGCCTTTTAGGTTTTAAACTTTAAATTTTGGTTTAATAACAGTTACTTTCATTAATGTATAGAAAATTGGCTGTTGACAGATAAAAAATCCATGATTATAGTTATGATTTCGTATATGTTACTGGCCAGATGCTTATCTGAATCCATCATATTGCTCCTATAAAGCTTGATATTGATGCAGTTTTGTGCTGAAGAAGGCTACATTTACATTACATGACCCTGCATTACATATTGTTCCTATTATTGTTATATGGTGGCTTCTTAAGTCTAAAACACCAAAACTGATCCATACAGATTGAATGATACAACTATCAACAGAGAAAATGATAAACGAAAAGAGATCAAGATGGGAAACCTCAATATTTCTAATTATTGAATAACCTCATAAAGAAAGTTTTTAATAAGAATATAGTACTTGTCATTATTCTTGTGGACTCTACTGAGTTTGATGACTATTTGGTTGTAAATGAGAAATTTAATCTGTGTATAATCCTGGATCTAAGAAGCCAGTAAGAATTAGTGGCATTAGTTGTTAAAATATTAAGATAGTACGCAGTATGTCAATTGATACTAGGTGCTGACTCTAAAAGCTGTCATGTCAACCATATAAATAAATAGTGCTTGATATATGTGATAACTGATTGTTGTAAAGATTTCTGTGGATTAAACCATTCATGCTTGTAGTCCACTTGACCATCTTGGCTACATCCCAATTTCTTCTTCTTTTTTTTTTTTTTTTTTTCTTTCAGTGTAATGTGATGTTGAGTGTTCATCATTTTTCTACTGTTTATGCCATCATCTTTCTGGCATCACTGTATAGTCTCATTGTGGATCACTCTCATTAGACTTGTTATATTTTCGGCCCATAAATCCTATTTAGCATTCTTTCATGCATCCTTATCTATCTTGTTCTCTAAACACGGTCTTCATTCCTTTCATGCAGGAGGATGCTGATCTCATTCATAGGGATGACCAGCAAAATTTTCTGGCAAGTGCTGACTTTCTTGCCAATTATGGCTTGCCAAAATTGATATCCAATATGCAGACAGCAGCTACAGAAGTTCTGAAGGCGTAAGTGCCTTTCCAATTCTTTATCCTTTTCTTTTGGTTTATTATTCTTGGAATTAACATTTTTAATAGGTTGGCCAAAAATTGCGAGTTGGAAGTAATAAGCTAGCGTCGGACTGCGTATGTAAATATTTTCAAAAAACCATAGCCTTAAAATGGAGGAAAATAATTTATATAGCTAACCCAAATTGGTTTTTGGATTAGGGCTTGATAGAGGTGAGCATTTTTCAATGTGTCCATCTTCAAATTAGGCCTGATCTGTCAATTTGATCTTCCAGTTTATGAAGTAATCCTTTGACATTTCTTCTCCCGATCAAGAAAGAATACACTGTAACATAAAATAATGAGCTTAAAATGAGGTGATAGAGCACTAAGAACTGAAAAAGTAATAAGGATGACTATCATGACGTGTGTGATACTTCCTACTCCCAAAAGTTAATCAGTAGCCAAACCTAATGTCAATGAAATGACAGATTTCTGATATAATTTCAACACTCTTCAGATTATGTAGTCTAGCTTGAGTTTTGACCTTGCTACCCCTTTAATTGGATCTGTCTTTTAGATATTTGGATCCTAAGAGAATAAATATATATATGTATATATATCAAAATGGTTGGAGGGCAAGACCTGAAAGTACAAGATACATCAGAATAATCCTTCAGGCAAACATCTTTAACTATATGGCATTCCTTGCCAACTGTTGAATTAACTGATAGACGAGCCATCTGTCACGGTTCACACTAACTTGTGAGGTATTATTCGCTCTAGTCCGCTGGCCTCACGGTTTTGTTCCACAAAAAGCGTCTCACAAGTTGAAGGGGTGTGAACCCTTATATCCCAAGATCAATTCTAGTATATAGCCGATGTGGGATTCATGACTCATTTCTAGGACCATGACATCCTCCCCCACTCCAACGAAGGCCTACCGTCCTCGGTGGCACATCGCTAGTACATTCAAAGTCTGCTCTGATACCAAATGTCACGGTCCACACTAACTTGTGAGGTATTGTCTGCTCTGGCTCACTGGTCTTACAGTTTCGTCCCACTAAAAATGTCTCACAAGTTGAAGGGGTGTGAATCTTTATATCCTAAGATCAATTCTAGTACACAGCCAATGTGAAATTCATGGCTCCTCTCTAGGACCATGACACCATCTGTGCTTTCACCTCAATATTAAGAAGATGCTACTCTGAAACTTAATTGTTGTTTCCCAAATAGATATACTGGAATACTTCATGAATGTTGTCTTACATTATCAAGAAGATCGGATGAATGTTATCTTGGAACTTGGTACTTTCTTGCAGAATGCAGTTGAGGGACTTCTTTAATACTACAGTACTTCATCAAACTATCATGCAGATACTTGATGTGTTCCTTAGCACGCAAAGTCCTCATCTTTGGGTGGAAAGCTTGATGCCTGAGGACCCAAAGTTGTACAAGCTTGCCACAATGTCCAGCAGTGATAAAACAAATCGTCCTGAGGTTACACAATTTGATCAACTTATGGTTGAGACACGAGAAGTGCTTTCAAGGTATCATTAGTACATTGGCCCTGAAAATGTTGTTTTGTTTTATTTGCTTCCTGTTTAGCAATTTATGTGTGTTAGAATTTAACAAGGGGTGGTGTATGGTCAATTGCATGGTTCCATTGTGTCTCAACAATGGCTTTAATGCCAACTATTCTTATTTTGTGGTAATTAGTTAAGAATGTTGACGACTATCCAATCATCCTATTTTTCTTCTTTTTATTGTGAACTCATTAAACTACAACCTCACAACTTTTTTTCATTCTTTCTTGTAGTGTGTTTAATAATTGTCATCTTAGAAACAAGCAAAGAAAATAATTATAGATGTTAGACGCTGTAAACTCTTTATCTCATGAAGACAACTTTGTGTGTGGTCAAGTTTGATTTTTATCATAACTTGTTTCTTTTGCCTTGCAGTGCCGAATTTGGTAGTGTTGTTGAAATATCATTAAATGCAGTGGTAAACGCCCTAGTGGAGGAGAAGGGATTTCAATCCGGAGGAGGCAGTCTAACATTGGGGATGCCTCTAGCTAGGCTTTTGCCGCGAATTGCACAAATCTGTCCATCTTTGGTTGAAGAACCAAGCAAAAACAAGTTTATCCAAATCATACAAAGTGTTCCAGAAGTTGGGCTCTTCTTCACCCTCCTTTATGCGAATCTGTCAACCTCATAGAGAGCATGTTTGTACTTATATTTCACATTTAAGTTTCACACAGAAGCACCAATGTAAAGATTCCAAATGGGGCTAGGTTAGAGGTACAAAATTCAAGTTGGGGAAGGAATAAAACTGAAGGATAGAGATTATTATTGCATTAGTTTGTAATTCTTTCCGCATTTTGTTAAGTTGGTAACTTGGTGATTTCAATATGGTAAAATCACCTATTTCATCCTTTGATTGAAATGATGCTAAAACAAAGCCAGAGATTGAGGCTTTTACGTTTATCATTTGTGGAAAATCTTGGCGAGCCGTCGAATCAGAAATCATCAAAGATTAACTTGATGCATATATTTGATTATTGCTGGGTGATGGAATTGGATGGCGCGACCAAGGAATTGGAAGTTGGCAAAGAAGCTGAGAATGATCAGAGCCAGCTACAAACTTTTGGTATTGGAGCGGGAGGTATGAATAGTGGTCAGTATATCAGGACCAGAATGGGAAAAGTAAATGAAGATGTGCCGAAAGGAGAAACAGTTGAAGAATATAACAAATTGTAACAAAGTCGTTAAATGTGTTGCGGGAATATAGGGTCGTTGCAATTTGGGAGAAATGGAAAAATGTGAGAGACTATGTATATAAATAATACTGCAATCACATGAAATTCATGAATGAGAAATACTACTTCTTTTCCTAAACATTCTTATTTCTTCTTCTGGTTTCTATTCTTCTGATTCTATAACAATTTTGGTATAAGAGCTTTTACGATCCAACCACAATCTGGGAAAAACTAAAAAGAACACAACAATGGCAGAAGGTACCAAGTTGTTCGCACTTCAAGAACAAATGCAGACTTTGCAGAATCTGGTGGAAAAGATACAGGTGGCAAGGGAGGAACCGAGGAAGAGCACTGAACGCTAAGTTGACCGAAAATAAGGAATGCATAAGTCAGTTGCTAAAGTTGTTGTCACCAAAGAAATCAACCCAGAATCAATCACAATCAGGAAGGGTTACAAATAACCGGCCGACACCAACTTCATGATTTAAGAAAGAAGGCGAGGCTCCGGTGGAAGTTACCATTATTGACGATCAAGGGATGTATACGTATAAAACTTTTGAACCTGGATTATTAGCCAATACCTATTCAGAAATAGCTCATTCATGCATCAAAATCCTTTTAATCAATTTAAGCCTTTTGATAACTCTGTTGGGAATAGTTCTTTTACAACTGCTGCTCATGTTTTTTCTTGAAGGCCTAAAGTTGAATTGCCATTTTTTATGGTAATAACCTAAGGGGTGGTCAAAAAAATGTCGAAAATATTTTGCATTATTTTCCATTGCAGATCATTAGAAACTAGAGATTGTTGCTATGTATTTGGTTGTAAAATCAAAAATATGGTTTGATGGCTATATAATGCAGAAACAAAGGGTTGATGGACTAAGTTTGCAGTAGATCTCTGTAAGAGATTTTGTCATAGATCTTGTTCAGATGTTATTGAAGAGTTTAACAAACTCTTTCAAAGATCTATGGTGGAGAAGTATCAGGAGAGGTTTGAAGAACTCGAACCTTATATGCTGCAGTATAATCCTTACCTTACTGAAAATTATTTTGTCTCTAGTTTTATCAGTGGACTAAAAGAAAAGTTGAAGCCTAGAGTAAAAACAAATGAGCCTGTTTCCCTAGCTATAGCCTACAGAATAGCTAAATTGCATGAACTTGCTTTAGAATGGGAAGCTACGAAACACAAGATAGTCCCAAAACCTAACTTGTCCAATACTAAACCAACTAATTCCCTATTTAACCCATCTCAGAAGTTCACTCTTACCTTTACCGTTATCAACCCCAAATAAAACCTATTTGAACAAAGGAGAGCTCAAAACCTGTGTTTTAAATGTGGGGATAGATACAGTCCAAGTCATATATATAAAGCTAATCAGCTAAATGGAATTACAGCAGAGGAAGGAGGTGAAGACACTGTGGCTATAGAAGTGGAACATGATAATGCTGATGGTGAGCCAATTAGGGATGAAGATAAATAAGAGGATGCCTTGGAAATATCCATTAATGCTTTAACAGGTAATGTAGGACATAGTACCCTCAAATACATGGTAGTGTGAATGGTAAACCAATGAGTGTGCTTATTGATAGTGGTAGCACCCACAGTTTTGTAACTCCTAGATGGACTAAGAAAGGAGTAGAATTGAAGCATACAAGTTATCCATTATAGTGGCCAATGGAAAAAAGTTATATAGTACAGCACGATTAAAGAGATTGAAATGGACCATGTGAGGGCATTAATTTTCGCATGACCTGAGAGTTTTGTCATTGACGGGCAGTGACATGGATTTGGGAGTCGACTAGATGAAAAAATATAGCCCCTTGACCCTGGACTTCAATGAAATGTCTTTGACGTTTTCATAAGGAAGGAATTCCAATTACACTTAAGGCAGGAACAACCACTGCAGCTCTCAAGATCATTTTTGGGGAAAAGTTATAAAAATTGGTTGTTAAGGGCACTGAATTGATGGGAGAGATTTTTATGATCAGTGTTGATTATGAAGTGACGGAAGTAGCTACAGAGCTCCAGACACTACTTGTTGTATATTTAGATATCTTTAAGGAACTGAAGGGCCTTCCATCAGTGAGAAACCATGATCATAGTATACCTCTCAAGCAGGATTCACCACCTATGAACTTAAGACCGTATAGGTATCCACATCATCAAAAGGCCTGTATCGAGAAACAGGTTTCTAATATGCTAGGTACTTCGATCATCCAACACAGCCAAAGTCCTTCTGCCTCACCCTATTTACTGGTCAAGAAGAAGGATGGGACATGGAGGCTATGCATTGACTATAGGCAACTTAATGCCATGACAGTTAAGAATAAGTTTCCCATTCTTGTTATGGAGGATTTATTAGATGAATTGAGAGGTGCTACATTCTTCTTTAAGATTGACTTAAGGTCAAGATATTGGCAAATCAGAGTTAATGAGGATGATATACCAAAAACAGCCTTTAGAACACATCAAGGCCACTATGAGTTCAAAGTAATGCCTTTTGGACTCACTAATGCTCTTGCTACTTTTAAATCTTTGATGAATGATGTGTTTTCTCCATATTTGAGAAAATTTATGCTTTTTTTTTTTTTTTATGATATACTTGTCTATAGCATTAACATAGATGAGCATGTGAAGCATTTACATATTGTCTTTGAGTTGCTGAGATCACACAGGCTGTTTGCAAAGAGGAGTAAGTGTTTTTTTTTGGCAACAACAAGTGGAATATCTCGGTCACGTTATTTTAGCTAATGGAGTGTCCACTGGTCCTTTCAAGATAGAAGCAATGAAGAACTGGCCTATGCCTACAACATTGAAGTCATTAAGGGGTTTCCTAGGACTAATCGGCTATTGCAGGAAGTTCATTAAGGATTATGGCTCAATTAGCAAACCCTTAACTGACATGCTAAGGAGAAATGGCATTACATGGCATCCTGAGTCTGTAGCAACTTTTCATCATCTTAAGAAAGCAATGACCAACGCATCAGTGTTGGCCTTGCCCAATTTTTCTAAACCATTTTATTTGGAAACGGATGCTAGCTTTAAGGGTGTGGGAGCTGTGTTAACCCAAGAGGGAAGACCAATTGCGTATTGAGCAAGGCTTTGGGTCCAAAACACCCTGATTTGTCGATTTATTAGAACGAATATCTTGCAATACTGATGGCTATCGCTAAATGGAGGCATTATTTGGAAGGCAGTCCCTTTGTAATAAAAACAGACCATGAAGTACTCAAATATTTGCTAGAGTAGAAACTCACAACCACAATCCAAAAAAAGAGGTTGACCAAGTTATTAGGCTTGGACTATTTTATACAATACAGAAAAGGTAAAACTAACAAGGTAGCAGATGCATTATCTAGGCAGTTTGAAGAAGAAGGACCACTCTAAGGTTTATCGGGGTCTGTGACTATGCTTCCTGAATGGGTGAAGGAGGTCAAGAATAGTTATAGTGGAGATGAAACAACTCAAGAAAAGATCAGAACTTTAAATGTGAACTCTGGTGCTGATTCCCATTTTACTTACAACAATGGAATATTAAAGTTCAAAGGCAAGGTGTATATTGGAAGCCAAGGGCAGTTGAGAAATCAGTTAGTGCAAACATTACATGACTCTTCTGTAGAGGCTCATTTACGTAGTCAAGCTATTATTACAGGCTGATATTGTATTTTTATTGGCCTAAGATGTAGAAACAAGTTCAAGAGTATGTCTAGCAGTGTGATGTTTGTCAAAGGAACAAAATTGAACATGTTGCTCCTCCAGGGTTGTAACTGCCCATTCCAATTCCTATTTAAAGTTGCGAGGTGGTTACTATGGATTTCATCGAAGGCTTACCAAACTCTCAAAAGTCTAATTGCATATTAGTTGTGATTGATAAACTTACTAAATATGCTTATTTTTTACCACTCACACACCCTTATACAGCTTCGAAGGTAGCAAAATTGTACCTCAACCAGGTCCATAGATTGCATGGTACTCCAAAAACTGTCATATTAGATAGAGATAAGGTTTTCACCAGCTCTATTTGGCAAGAATTGATGAAGTTACTGGGTACTAGTGTCTATCTCAGTACAGCCTACCATCTAGAGACTAATGGGCAATCTGAAAGACTGAATCAATGCTTAGAGCAAAATATCTGTAGTGTATGTGTTTTTTGAAGCCTAAGTTGTAGGCCAGTTGGCTATCTCTAACAGAATGGTGGCACAACACCAGTTTTCACATAGCATTGAAGATTACACCCTTATAAGCCTTATACAGTTACCGGCCTCCTGGATTTTCTTGGGATTGTAGTTTTGCTGCCAAGGTCTCCACTGTTGAAGAATTACTTAAGAAAAGGGAGCAGTTAAGCAAGTTGATGGTAGAACAATTACAAAGAGCTCAGCAAAGGATGAAATTTTATGCTGACAAAAAAGGGAGTGATAGAGAATTTCAAGTTGGTGATGAGGTGTACTTGAAGATCCAACCCTATAGACAGACATTTGTAGCTCTCAAGAAGAATGTTAAGCTCTTATCTAAGCACTATGGACCATATCCTATAATTGCTAGAGTTGGAGCAGTAGTTTACAGGCTTTAGTTGCCACCTACTTCAACAATCCATCCTGTTTTCCATGTTAGTTTGTTGAAGAAAAAAATTAGCACACAGGTGGTACGTAGTATAACTCCTCCAGAGGTTAATGAAGAGGGTCAGCCTTTAGTTTATCCTACTGCTGTATTAGATGAAATGATGGTAAAGATGGGTAATTAGGCAGTAACTCAATTACTGGTGGAATAGGTTAATCTTGGTCCTGATTAAACTACTTGGGAGGACTACACTGTGCTTATCTCTCAATTCCCATTTTTGATCCTTGGGGACAAGGATCGATTGTAGGAGGGGGTATTGTGATGGAATTGGATAGTGCAACCTAGGAATTGGAAGTTGGAAAAGAAGCTAAGAATAATCAGAGCCAGCTACAAACTTTTGGCATTGGAGTAGGAGGTAAGAATAGTGGTCAGTATATTAGGACCAGAATAGGAAAAGTAAATGAAGATGAGTTGAAAAGAGAGACGGTTGAAGAATATAACAAAATGTAACAAAGCCATTAAATGTGTTGAGTTGTCTATTTGTAATTAGCTAACTTGATAGCGGGAGCTGTGAGGAGTTGCAAGA